TATGATGAGCACAAAAATAAATGTTTTTTTAATAGACAGATGATAATAGAGAGACAGCCCAAAACTGGCGATACCAGAAAGGTGTCGCATTCTGAGATTAAAACGGTCAATAACCGATTCTCTATGACAACGTAATTGCTGTAATATACCTGAAACTAAATGACAGAAGGGTAACTATGACGTTCAGTATATCGCAATGTAATTTCTCAAGTAATCTCAGAATCGGTAGGGGTACCTTGAAACAACTTGTACAACCTTATTAAACTATAAAATAGATGTTTAAAATATTTTGTACAACCTCACATAACCTAGGAAATTCACGTGATTCATGAAATACTTTGTTCACACATGAGTAAGATAGAAAGTTTTAAGGAATTTTATGAAAACTTCTGTAGTATGCGCTCGTAAATTCCAGAAACGTAATAACAGAGGGAACATTGGTGAACTTTCGAAAACATTTCGTGCAGCATTTTAAATTGGCTAGAAACATACGATGTCTTTTGTAACACTTTACAGAACCTTAAGCAACATATAAAATGCAAATATGTTCTTGAAATACCTTCTACAACGTTGACTAAAATATAGAAGCCAAATTGGGAACTTTTTAACTTCGTGTACAACTTTAAATTGCTGCTTTAACTTTCATCATACGGTAGTAATGACATATATCACCATCATACGGTAGTAATGACATATATCACCATCATACGGTAGTAATGACATATATCACCATCATACGGTAGTAATGACATATATCACCATCATACAGTAGTAATGACATATATCACCATCATACGGTAGTAATGACATATATCACCATCATACGGTAGTAATGACATATATCACCATCATACGGTAGTTGTAGCACATATTACCAAATTATTATCAGCAATAATTTACTCAAACATTAGTGACTTGAAGTCTTATCTTAGAATGTACGTTTTCTAAACAAAATACATATATATCACACATTAGCCTCTACTGATATTGCTCCCCTTTAAAAACTGGTTACTTAGATTATTATCTTACAATATCAGTTTTCTCGAAAGAGATATATATCACATATTAGCTCTTACTGATATCGTTCCTCTTTAAAAACCAGTGACTTGGAGTCGTATCTTACAATATCAGTTTATTCAAAAGTGATAGATATATATCACATTAGTCCCTAGTAATATCGCTACCCCTTTAAAAACTAGTGACTCGGAGTCATATCTTAGAACATCAATGAAGTCTTTAAAGTAAATTATGATATGAGTAACACGGTTGTGCACCAGTAGCCTTATAAACATTTGCCTTATTCTCAAAAATCACCTTCCTATTAAGAAACGTTCCTGAGACACGCATATCCGTGGTTTTCAGAGAAACGAACACTCCGAAGGTTCAGAAAACGTGGATAATGTTAAAGGTCCTTTGACTGGGGAGGAAATGATCCGTGGTCGGAAGAAAATGTAAAAACTCTGCCGTGCTCGCACAAGATAGAGTGGTTGAGTGAACAAGGTCGTTTAGAACTGCGATATTCGTCTGTTATTTTTGTTTCTCACACCAAAATTACACGAGGTTTTCTGCGTTAACGTATACGTAACTTTCTGACGTACTCTAAAGAAAGCTTATTGCACGTTCTAATCATGGTTTCCTTGGTGTACTTATTTGATCAGATATTCTACTTTACGTGGTACCGCCGTTTAATTGCAGGGAATCTGTTTAGGTAAACTTGTTCGTTGCTCATAAATTTAGAAATTTTCTGAGAATTTCGCAGTGCAAAAGAATCCCGTCTCAACATTATTCAAATATACCAGTAATGATTGAATGTGTAAATGGGCAGAAAATCGAATAATTAGCTTATAAACATGACTAACAGAGAACGTACGTATAGTTTTATATCTATTTCATCTGTTTCTACAAGGTGTAGTGTTTGCTTAATAATATAAACTAGCCGACTGTGTGTTTTTTTTTCTTTTATGTACTATTAACAAATAATATGACGCAGAATACTTTAATTATTATACTCAGAACGCACATAAAACGAATTTATTTATGCAATTTACAAATGTCCAGATTGAAATATGATGTTGTTTTTTTTATGTATGTATTTCATTAGTTTCATAATAATACACGAGGTCCTGTTTTATATTCGTCTCCTTTCATTAAATCTGCTTTCCTAAGTCTAAAGGCAGATATTCTTGTCACTTCTCTAAGAAACCAGTTTTTCTTCTTGTTTCTATAGTAATTAAGCTGTTATAAATAAGGACAAAGTAAATGATACTCAAGTTTCAAGGTGAAAAGGAATACTAATGATATTATTCCAAATATTCTTTAAAGAATTCCTAACCAGTTGATAAAATGTATTTAACAGATGCAAGTACCGAATAGAAAGCACATTATATAACAGAGGTTACATATAACGTTTTCCTCATTCTACTTGTTCTGCAAACAAATCCTGCATTTTTCGTTTATAAAGAAGCAAAAACATTCTTGAGAAGATGCATTATTGTAACGTAAGATGACTAGTCAAACTAATCAGAATCTTGACTACACACTGGAGACATCACATATTACTGTAATTTCTGGTATTTAACAAACTGGTTTACAGTTACAAAAAGTGAAAATATCAAGTTTGGTTTCACTGCTACTTAACTTAGAAATGCAAAAGCTAGGCTTCACGGTCAAGTACAGCGCCCTCTATTCCTTTGTTACATGATTGTTTGTTTGTTTGTTTTTAATTATGCACAAAGCTACACAAGGGCTATTTGTGCTCTGCCCACCACGGGTATCGAAACTCGGTTTCTAGCGTTGTAAGTCCGCAGACGTACCGCTGTGCCACTGGGGGGCTTGTTACATGATGCTCAGAACTGTTGAATAATCGAAATACAATTAATACATTTGTATTTTAACAGAGCAAACTAATCAATACAGTTCATTTAAGTGTAATCACTTCATCTGGTACTCCAAAACGCAAAAGCTACACCGTATGATACTTTATAATGTATCGTATGAGCGTTTCACAGCTCTGAAACGTTGTTGACACATATAGTCTCACCATTTAATATTTATAACGTATCATATAAGCGTTTCGAAGCTCTAAAACCTCGGTCACACATGTAGCCACATCATCTGATACTTTATAACGTGTCATACGAGTATTTTCCAGCTTTAAAACATTGTTCACACGTGTAGCTACATCGTCTGGTACTTTATAACGTACCATACGAGCGTTTCTGAGGTCTAGTACGTTGTTCACACATGTGAGTACATCATATGGTACTTTATAACGTACCACACAAGCGTTTCTTTGATCTAAAAGGTTGTCACACAAGTAGGCATACCATCAGGTACTTTATAACGAGCGTTTCTCAGCTGTAAATCGCTGTTCACACATTTGGCCCTAGCTAAGCTGTATCAGTTATAATATGACGAGGAATTGATAGATCAGAAAACAATGAACTACAGTGAGTAAATGTGTGTAGTGATCATTAACTTATCCTTCACCTCAGTAATTCCTTCAAAATATAATTTCTATGAGTGTTTAATATACATGTAAATTACAAAGAATGTCCTACTTTGATATAAAATATATCTTCTAAACTACTTATCTTAGGGAACTAAATTTCTCCAGAAGCACATTGGAAACCATATGTTTATTCAGCAACATTGGGTATGGTACAGAGTGTCTGAAAAACTGTCACAGTATGCTTTCTGTCATTCTCAATCAGCATATCAAGCAGCCAGTCAACAGCACCAACCGTTAACTCTTGGGCTACTCATATAAACTAGTTGGTTTTGACCGTCAATCTTATAACGCACCCATGGCTTTAATGTGCAGAGTGAGATTTGGAGTTTTTTGTGGAAACGGGACGATCAACCATGGGTCCTAGAACAATACGAGTGTGGTGAATTGTTACACTAATGTATTTCAAAACCACTTTTCCGTCAGGCATTGCGGGGCGTACGTGGTTTAAAAACAATATTTATATACACTCTAGGTGCTACTATTCCTACTAAAGAAACTAAACGACCCAACTCGTCACACGAGAACGCTCCTCACACCCTTCATCAGTTCGCACTTTTGGAGCAACGCAAACAATGTTAATCCTCTCGTGGTTGTCGGTTACGATATGAAAGTTTCATAATATTTTTCATCATACTATGGTTGGAGATAACTGAATCTCGATTACTATTGAAGAAATCATTCAATTCGGACACATTCTACTCAGATACGCCTTTTAAATGATAATATCCCTCTGTCGATCAACAGTTTTAGCCGTTATAACGTTTCTTAGAGGTCAATGTATTCTCTGTCGATTACTGTTACTGATAGGCTTCCATGCATTTGAACAACAAAATAAAGGAACATTCTAAGATTTGAGGTTCCTGCGAGGTGGCACTTACCATCATGAACCTTAGAGCTACTTTATCTTACTCATTGTCTCGTAAAATAAAAACATGACAATTTCATAGATCAGTCAATAACCTGACTCATCAAATGATTAGTCTAACAAATAAAAACAGTATTTTTAAAATGTTCGTGTGGCGATCCTAACAAATGGGTTTGGCTGTTAGTGTATATTGTATGAAACGAGAACATAGCTATGTCATAGTCAGAGTGCATATTTCTAGACATTCATTATGCCAATGCTAGTAGGGGTTTCATATCTGGATACATGCATTGCATTAATCTCTAACTGACTCTTCGAAATGTCTGCACAAAGAAAAAACGTAATTGATATGTTAGTAATTCATAAATGAAATTTCAAGATCTATAGTAGACAGTAATTAGAAATATTTTCAATAAAAGGCGATGTATTTTACGAACAATTAGACAGGGAGTTTTTACGTTATGTTTATTCGGAATGTTAATAAGTGAGCCTTCGTATTCGCATATAACATATTTTGTAGTTGGTAAAGTCCAGACTGAAGTTATATATATATATATATATATACAAAAGACAAACATTAATTTATCATATATATAAATTGTAACTTATATTTTTTTTTTATAGTTATGGTGATATGGTTCCAGCTACCATCATGGGAAAGATATTGGGAGGTGTGTGCTCACTGAGTGGTGTGCTCGTTATTGCACTTCCGGTTCCAGTTATTGTTTCAAATTTTTCTCGTATTTATCACCAGAATCAGCGTGCGGATAAACGGAAAGCACAAAAGGTAAGTTGTTATTAAACCATATCCAGACTATGTAGTCTGAGATTGATTCAAACAGATTTCAGAAATTTCGAATATTTGTTTCTCTGCAGCGAGTAAAGTAATGATATCTTAAAATTCAAGTGCAGTCAACGTAAATTATAATTTCTTACACAGACTGCATTATCTCATTATGTTGCCGAGGGGTATAAAAGGTTTATTTTAATCACGAGTATCATTTGATGCTGTTGTCGTATGTTTATATATGTAGTTCTTTTCCACAGCGAAAAACGAAGCAAATGAAGAAATCCAGAAGCTAAATAACCAATATTTGTTTGACCTCGGGCTGTAGTTTCAAGAGATACGATTCCTATCTGCAAGAGAGAACCATAAATTAATTTATTAATAATTCATATTTCATAACAAGTGTTTTATATTCAAGTAAATTTAATAAGAAAAATGATTCAACCGATTTTTACTAAGCTACCAAAAGGATTATTACAGACTGTTTAAGGTTCTAAGCTGTGAGCTTAGAGATTTGCTTTTAATCAGATCTAAAATATTACCTTAAGCCCCCCGTTTTTAAATTTTTTTTTTAAATTTTCTAATATCACAAAGGAGTGGAGCAAAACATTTTTTAATGAAAAAAAAAACTATCCAAATATAATTTTGTCTCTCAGCAAAAAGTGATATAGAAGATATAAAAAATCTTATCCGACAAAACTTACCGTGCAAAATGTAAAGAAAGGTCATTCTTTGTAATATTGGGCCTATTTTCGGACTCTTCTTAGCTTGCTTACAACATGTAACATAAAACTACAAATATTAAGCATACCACAACCTACTAGCTTTAAATTATCCCATTTGTATTTATGTGTTTATCTCACAATCAAACTGTTAAGAAAATTAAAATTAGTATTTGATTGCAACCGTTCCAACACAAATGAATGGGAAAGAAGACTTATCATCTGTGGTTATCTAAAGATAGCGAGATATATTGTTCGAAATTTGTCAAATGAAATATCTTCCATCTTTTTCTTCTTTCACAACTTTTGCATCACTTTAAAGTTTCATACGTAACGATGAAGTGGCTCATCATCACGTTATGTTGTGTTCCTCTAGTTCGATGTGTAAACAGCTGGTTTGTTTGTGTTAATGTTTCAGAAACACTTTATTTACAATTATGAGATTCTCGCAGCAATATATCCAGTTTCGATGGAAAAATTCCGAATCTTTAAAGTTAAATAAGTTCACTTTCTAATCTTACCTTTTTTTTTTGGTCAAAAGTGAATAATGTTGCTGATTTTATTAAAACTCGCGTGCGCCTAAGAACATTCATTGTCTTTCTACTTTTCAGGTTCAATATTTCGTCATAGAAAAAAATGATACCCCACAAATCGGCACACCCATGTTTAGTTTGTAATAATGCAATTAAATGGTTTCAGGACAAAATATTATTGTGCCCAGAAGTTCCCCATTTTCAAGAAGTCATTGTTTTAGCTTCTTCGTCAAATAAAAAACCAAAAACATTCAGATAAATTTAACCAACATTCTTCAAGCCTCCAGAGCTCGTTAGGTGAAGCCTTGAATAAGAAGTCGCCATAAAGCACGAGTGAGAGCAATAAATAGATTTTGTTTGTTTTCTTTTAAAAAGCAAAGGCCACAGGACATACGTATGTAAGATGACGTAAAACATTCTTACCTTCCAAGATACCCACATATATTTCTTCCTATTTTATCCCACTCACATTCATTTATTCCCGAACACACACACACACGCAGTTTTCGTCTTCTAAACACACGCACGCACATACTCATTTCCTCCTTTCCAACACGCACATTTCTTTTCACATTAGTTAAACAGTAAAGCATAAGTCTACCCTATCGTTCAGAAAAAAATATTATTAATTTTATACGATTATCACTGTTAGTTTGTTTGTTTTGAATTTCGCGCAAAGCTAACAGAGATATCTGCGTTAGCCGTCCCTAATTTAGCAGTGAAAGACTAGAGGGAAGGTAGCTAGTCACCATCACCCACCGCCAACTCTTGGGCTACTCTTTTACCAACGAATAGTGGGATTGACCGTGACATTATAACGCCCTCGCGGCTGAAAGGGCGAGCATGTTTGGTGGAACGGGGATTCGAACCCGCGACCATCAGATTGCGAGTCAAGCTCCCTAACCACCTGGCCATGC